TATAGAGAAACTCTTTCTTGGAGGAGTTTTGAAATTCTGGAATTGGATTGGAAATGAATGGAATTGGAAATGAAGCGTAGGAAATAGCTCTAGGGGAGAGATGGTCATATTTTATTGATTGATATTTAGTTATAACTGCTAGAGAAAATGAGTAAAGTCTGTTGCATAACTTCCAAACCAACCTAATAACTTGACTTTATTCACTCTTTCACCTATTTGTAGAGACGGCGGCGAGTTTTCCGGTCATGAAGCTGTAAATATCTTGGACGACTATCTTGAAATGAATCGTGAGCAGTTCTCCGCTAATATCGTTCGACGGCAAAACTCGGCTAAGGTATTTTGCCAATTCATTCTCCATCTTTCTATTTCTATTTCTCTCTTTTTTTTGTAAGAATAACTTTCATTTCATGCTCTTTGGTCATGGTGGTACGTTTTCGCTCCACTTTTCCTCACTTTTTCAGGTACTCGATATGTGGTTACGCGAGAATGTGATTCGACCTGTTAATCCATCTTATAGAGACTCACCTCCTATGTTTTGTGATAGCAAGAAGGTCATCTACACAATGAATCCTGACTCTGATCACAAGTGGGTTTCCTCTTGCATATTCTTGATCTTCCTGTAGCCCTTTCGATCTCGAGTAATCGATTCTGCGCCCAAATGTAGCCGGGGACAGGGCATGCCACTCCGACGCGAAAATTTCGATACCTATCTTCTAAATATTCAACAAAAATTGCGATCTCCTTACCTCTCTCGTCCAGGAATTCTCAATGATAATGTGTAGTCGTGTTCGCCGCGAATGATTGGGCGTGTAAGGGCGGCTATGTTTGGCCCGGCGCCAATCTGTTTTCCGTCCAATCGCTTTTTCTTTCTGCAGACAGCAAGACTGTATCATGTCGTTCGTGTGGGTCGTTTTCCACCACTTGTTGTCATTTACCTGCTTCAACAACTGGGAGAGAGTGTATTTGGCAACGCGCCAAACGCAGATGCGCGGATACGCCTCGTCATCTGCAGCGAACCAGACTGTACGCTGGCTTCAAACGTGGAAGACCTGGAACAGAAGAAAGCCAGTATTTCAACGTTCAGATTCCGCTTCCTCTTCAGGGCCGTATTTTTCTCGGAGCACGTCATACGTAGGGAATTACCAGATGGGAGGTCGTAGTAGCTAGCTGGGAATAGGGGCTCATACCCTCAAAAAAATTTGCCTGCTCACTTTCTCGGAACCCGTTTCATGTGCCCCATCTATCCCTCACCTACCCCGCTGAACGGCCGTTTTCCAAGGAAAAATTGGGATTGGACAAGATAGTAGGTATGCTGAGGGGAAGGGCTTGCTGCACATGAGAAAGTTTTGGGAGGAATAAGAGGAATTTTGCATGTTTTGCAAAAATTTCTCCTTGAGGGAGAGACGTGCCCTCATTGTGCTGCTCACTTATAATAACTTTCATGCTCACTTATAATAACTTTCATAGTGCAACTCTGGAGGGATAGGCACTGTATGTTGAGAAAATATGTTGCTCTCTTCTCTCCCAACTTTCAGCATTATCTGCTTTCTTATCGCGGTTTTCTTTGTGCGAATATCAAAACTTGTTCTGAATGGTGGTAACCAGATATCTTCAAGGTCGTTTCTTCACTTATTCATTCGCAGGTTATACATTTGCTCAACCCCTACCTCGTACAACAGATCGGTGGGCAGACGGCCATCGCGAACAAGTTCTTTCAAGCGTTTCTTTTCTCCGAGCCGATGTAAGTTAATGGTAGAGATGTTTCCTTTCAAAGTTCCATCTGTGATGTTATAGTAAGAGGCTCTGAAGGAACAGGGCACACAACGTTAGTTCGATCTCCATCAGCGATGTCTGAATCAGTGCTCACTTCAAGGCATACATCTCACACACCATTCACACTCACTGTGGAACCTCCTATGAGAAATCAGCGCTCGTTGAAAGGTAAGTACTATGATTCTCGTTTGGTGATAAGGCAGCGTTCAGACTTCGCGATAACGCTCGTCGGCGCGCTACCGTTGCAAGAGCGCTTCAACATCAAATATGGGAACGCAGCAGTAGACGGGTATCGTTCGCGCCTAGTGATCCGTGGGGGAGGTGGTCGCTGCCTAATCACACAGTATGGCATTGATCGGTGCGGCCGCTAGTGTTTTTGGGGAGTATAGATGAAGAGGCCATCATCAGTGCGTCGACGCGCGTTACAGCACGCGTTATAGCGAGTCGACATGCGTCATCCCGAACTCTGAGCAGTGTCTAAATCTTCAGAGCTGCTGATTTTCTGTTGGATAGCGCTGTTACTGCTTACTTTTAATTTCAGAGGAGGCCGAATTACACGACGCTGCGTTGTTCCGCTTGCTGACGATTGTTGAAATACCCATGCTCGATGATCTGACCACAGTACCTGGCCAGCCAACGGTAAATAGGTTATGTTCGAATAACAAAGGACTGACTAGAAAAGTACATTTGCAGAAAAGCGCTTCAATACTCTCCACGATACTTTCGAAAATTGGTCTTGGAGGCTCAACACCCGAAACACTTGCATCGAATGAAGAAGAAATGGATGATCTACTTGAAGACACGCCGTCCATTCGGTAGTCCTCTTGCACTTTAACATTCTCTTCTGTTCTGGGACTATTTTTCTTGTGAAGTAACTCGTTCCATTCAGACCACTCGTGCCATGGTTCCAGCTTGCACGTATTTGTGCTCCTGGTCTTTATTTCAAGTCTAGCGGAAAGAAACCAACTAGAGAGGAAATCCACAATTGGGCGAAAGCGTCTCTACAAGCGGTAAGAGTTATAGAATGATCAGGCGGCGTTATTCCAATAAGGTAGGGCAGTTTCGTGCAGAGCTCTAAACATAAGACATGAAATAGGGACTTGGATTGCGTCTTGGGTGGGGGGGGGAATGGGGTCTGTAGTAAAATAGCCCAACTTCTTCAAATTCGATGTGAAGTAGCGGAAATCGAATGTAATGTAATGGTCTGTTGATGTTTCGAACCGAAGGGCATCAATCCTCGTTGTAATTGTAAAGTTTTGGTATAATACCGCGTTTACATCTTAATATCTTCAATGTGAGTGATGAGTCATTGCGTTTTCAACGCTTACGCAATTTCAAATAATTTTGTTGGGGCAAGTTCCGGTGGGAAACATAAGCGACGTCAACATTACGAATGCGAAGTGACAGTCACTCCTTCATAAGAGGAACTCTGCGTGGCAAAGGAAACAGCGCTTACGTAGTGACAAGGGTGAAAAGAAAATGGGGACTCGTAGTCAGGGGGTATAATACAGTCCCACATTCGCTGTAAACTGCGTTCAAGCAAAGCGTGCCGGTGAACTTCTGAGAACTCTGCTCACATGTGCGTAGTGTACAAGAGTGGATTCTCAGAGAGGGGGGGGACTTACAGAGAATTATTGGCTATCCAGCTTATGACGATCCTTGTCAGCACCATCTTCTCGATACAGATTGTGTGGGACTTAGTTTGCGGGCTGATTAGGAATTCGCTAGATGTTAATCCGACTTAGCACTTAGCGAAAGATAGAGGGCAATACGCGTCCTTGCGCACTCCGATAATGCAGGTCTTTCTCAATGATTAAGAGAGAACTGTAAGAATCGAACACTGCTGTGCACGGGCGGGCGGAGATCAGAGACGAGAGAACAAGAAGATGAGCTAAACGATAAACTTTGACGCATATAGAATAAACGTAGCGCGTGCTAATAGATGCAGGACCGCTGGAATATCTGGTCCCCAGGTACTAGGATAGACAGGTAGCGCACCTTAGGCTTAGGCTGCAACCGGGGCACGCCATCGCGTTGTGAAAATTCCTGAAAAATACGACCCCCCTAATTCCATCTCAAATACGACCCCCTCCCATGCTACCTACCACTTTCCTAGATTTTCCCAACTTCCTACCACTTTTTCCATTTTTTCCCGAAAAATTTCCAGTTTTTCAGCCAAGAATTTTCCGTCGAGCGGGGGAGGGGGCGATGGCATCCCAACGATGGCGTGCCCTGGCTGCAAACCCCTCGTCACTCACTCTCGAGCCGCGAAAGCCACAGAATGTCTCTCCAAAGCAACCCTCAACAATTCAGGAGCTGGAGGAGATGAAGCTAATGAAGATCATTCTAGATTAGTGACCGATACTCGTCGATCACGCATCGTGGATCGTCACCACTGTTTCCGACTGAATTCTCACCCATCATTGAAGCGATTATCCAGCAACTCCTTGGCAAGAAAAAAAGGAAGACGAAGCTAGCTTTGCAGTATGGTTTTTTCTCGAAAATTCAGGATTTTTTTATTTTGTCAAAAGGTGCTACATGTTCTAGATACCTCTGCCTGATGATTCCACAGAGGCTTCGTACACATCTCAGCAATGTGGTACAATTTCTTGAGCGAACTATAGGAACCGATGAGTTCATGTCTCTACGAAATCCGTACTTTTTAGGCAATAAAGTGAGTGGTTCAAGTCACAGCGCTTCTAGCCCTTCCTACATGCGTAGCTATAGTTTCAGGGTGATACAGAGAACTTCGAAATCGTTTTCGATGAACTGAGATCATTTATATTCCCGCAGAAAATTGCAAGAGTGGACCAGAACAGATTGATGGAGGTACGAACGTTATTTAGTCATGGAATAAAAAGTGTTTCAATCCTTGTTCCAGGCTCTGTTGCAACTAAGGAAAGAAGGCAATTTGGGCACTGAACCGCCAGAACTTGTCGCAGATCTCAAAAGATTAAGGTCGCTTTTTTCACCGTTCACTTGTTGGGCTAATACCTTAGAGATCGTGGTTTTGTAGTTGGTTTGTGATCTTTGAACAAAAACTGTACACTTACGTCCGAGACCGGTCCTTGCCATGTGCGAGGCGAACAGGTCCACAGCTGGAGTAGCGTGCCATTTTTTCAGCCGAAAAGTGCACGCGATGGGGCTATAGGTACCGGCACCCGAGCGCCGTCTCCATACTCAGGTGGCCAGCATTGCTCATAGCAGAATCCACAAAAAAACTAGCTGTTTGGATTTTAGAGAGCCGCGTCAAAAGTGTGGAGGGCGAGTATAGACTAATGGGTGCTGTCTAGGACATATTAAGAGATGGCAGGTGTGCTAGCGTTTGCGCAAGACGTGGCGACGATGTGATGCCGTATCCGAGTGTTCGCTTACCCCCTCCCGGATTCCGTGCACTTTCGAATTGAGAAATTGGCACGCTACTGCAGGTGTGAGCCGATCCACCTCGCACATAGCAAGGAACGTCTCGGAGGTAGGGCCGCCATCGGCGTGGTGACTCAGTTTCTGAAGATCAACGACCCCCCACTTTGATTCCCTCCTCGAATACGACCCTCCTTTCCTCATGTTACCTTACCTTTTTTCTCGTAAGATTTTCCCAGGATTCCTATTAAACATTTATCCATTTTCCCGCCCGAAAATTCTTTGCTTCAATCAAATTTTGCTGTCGAGTGGGGTGAAGTCGGGTCGCAATTTAACTATCATTTTCACTATCGGCAATAGTAGTATAACGCCTAGAATCTTTGCGATCTCTCTCCCAACAACACAGCTGAACTAACCCCGCGCCTTTTTTAGCGTCGTAATAAAAGAGAAATCAACGCAATCAGAAAATTTTCCTATGACTAAATACGACCCCCTCCCTCGCGGTCAACTGCGACCCCCCGCGTTGTGGTCATCACAACGATAGTGTGCCCTGCTCGGAGGTGAGCGTTCATCTATGCAATGTTGCATGTGAAAAACGCTGCAGCACAGATGGCCTGTCGTTACTGCGGCTGAGCCTCGCAAGAGAAATTGATCGCAGATGCGGAATAGCTCGCCCTTTGATGCGCATTTATGAAGTACTGTTTGTCTGTTAGCCGAAAAACACAGAAGAAATGCCGAGTATTTAGGACACCCAAAATTATAAAAATATTTCCTCCACCATCCACCTGGTCATTCTCAGGTGGCTTATCAGGCACATTCCACGGCTCACAGCCAGTTAGTATTTTACTACTCGCATAATTGTGAAATACCCTCAAAAAAAGCTCTGTTTCTTTTGATGGATTTTTGCAATCCATTTTGCGACGCCCCTAACACAATTGTATTGGTTAGATTTTGCGGCGCCTCTATAGTTGAGGATTGCCACCCAACATCACGACTAAGGCAGCGTTCAAATCTCGCGGAGGCTCTAGTCGTCTTCACTCTCCCGAAGCTGGTTGGCGAGAGGTGCACATCGTCCTAACGGCCCGCGTTCAGACTTCGCACCTGACTCCGCTGCGAACCCCGCTACGCGCGATCCGCGTCCACTGCGACCGCGCTCCAGTGCTATAGAAGGGAACGAAGCTGTAGACGGGTATCATTCGACGCTGGCCACTAGTGTTTCGGGAGAGTGTAGAAGAATAGGAGAGTACCATGCTGCTGTGCGATGAAACAGCGTGTACCCTCCTGTTCTCCCATACTCCCTCAAAGCAGTAGCGGCCAGCGCCGATCGATACCCATCCATGGCTGCTTTCCCTCTATAGCACTGGCGCAGTTGTAATGGTAGTGCGTCGACGCGCATCATCGCGTAGTTTTTGAACGCTGCCTAGGCAATACCTCTCCTTTCCCGTAATCAGCTTGAGAGAAGCGCAGACGACTGGAGTATGGGCGACATTGTCTGGGCGGATTAGAGGACTGCCCTTTGTCGTATGGATGCCTGCCCCCCGGATAACTACAATAGGGTTGGTTTTGTAACTTATAAATTCAACATTCGCTTGGATTTTTCTCGCCTAAGGCAGCGTTCAGACTTCGCGACGGCGGCGCTTCGATCGCGCGTTCGACCAATGCACTCAAAAGCATGAGTATTGATCGAACGCGCGACCGAAGCGCTGTCGTCGGGAAGTCTGAACGCTGCCTACTACTAAAATTGTGAGTATGGACTTGGTAATGGTTTTTAAACGTCGGGTTTTGCTATGGTACTTATTTTTGCATGCTCATATATTCCTACTCGTCACTTTTTTCTTGCCTACTTTACAAACAATTTTCTGGCGCCAACGTTCGGAGGAGGGGGGGAAGGTGGGCGCGGCGACGCGACTAAGTCCTCAATATGTGCCTCTTGCTGATTTAGTTATAGTCGTTTTCGCTGCTGACGCTGGAATGGATCGAAGGGGAGGAGTTTGGCGCGGCGCCAGCCTGTTTCCACCAGTTGTTGTCGTGTTGCTCGCCTCAACAGTTGTTGGAGAACGGGCAAGCGACGCGCCAACCCGTTCTCCACCAACTGTCCTCCCCCTCTTTTTTCCTGACACGCCCCAGCATCTGCGGCAGAAACAACGTTTTTCCTTCTATGAAAACTCAGTCTTAGGAGTGCACAGATGGCCAGACTCGACGCGATCCGTGTGTAATCTCTCCCCTGCTCCTCCCCTTTCCCAACAATTAGCGGCAGTTTCTCACTATATTCATGTGTAGTTTGAAGATCCAGCATGCTCCTCCTAGAACTAAAATGTTTACAGGATCTCTTTTCCCAAAGACTGTTGCATAGTGTGCTTTGGTTAAAGCAATACATATTCGGATTGTTATGATATTTAGATGTATATAATTTAAGAATTCAATTCTTACATACATTTCGGCACTTACCATATAATTCAGTATCCTTGTATTGTTATCTTGCAGTGATTATCGCTGTCAGTTTAATAAAAGATCTATCTCGAGTATGGAAAAAGCAGAAAGAAAAAAAAACAAGACGCGCCGCGCGCCTGTCAAAGTCGCCTCCACATTCGACAAAACAATCGGAAGGAGGGGCCCTATAGGCGCAACATTGTTCCTGTGACACCTACTTCTTAGTGGCCCGCCTTCAAGGCCCGTCGTTAGGAAAAACGAAGCTCAGCGACAAGAAAGGCTTACAAAGGCCATCTTAGTCAACGTTTCGGGAACTCGTCCATAAACTCAATTTACGATCCCTTTCCTGTCGGCTGACGTACACAACTGTTATCGATAATTGGGTCTACTCTAGACCATTGGCGTTGTTATAATTCTGCTTTTTCTTCACTATCAGAGTTATCTCAGAATTTTGCCGTCTATATGGAGACCTCGAATCCACGATCTCTGATGGCGAATTTGCTGGGATTTGCCTTCAAGAATGTCGGTTGGGAAATTCAAGCGGCAAAAAGACGCTACAAATGGCGTCATGTGTGGGCCATTTGCTCAAGGGTCTAATTGTTTCAACATGAAGGTGCTACACCGTGCTAAGTCTACTATCTAGGGAATTTCAGATAGTTATTGTTTGCTTGCATGTCTTCCAGAAGAGCTTAGGCACGTATTCGCACGCAAGTTCACCCAAAAAATTGAGTGTAAAACAAATGTTAAATGTATGAAAAGAAAATCGAACCTGAACCTGTACCGCAAATAACATCCATCTTTGGAGGAGGGTTTCCGAGAGGTCCACTTACCTGTCCTGCGGGGACTGGGGCGGGGAAATGATCCATAAACAAGGGTCCAGAATGCTGCGCCCTGAACCGTGGAGAGCGACAGACAGACAATGTAACCTTGTCGTCGTAAGCGCGCGCCGACTTACGTAGGCGATATTCTCGGTGTGATCCGGCTTGAACGGTTAGGAAGCTTTCGGAGAGGTCGATATTTCTGCCGCCTCCACAATTCCAGACTCACTTCAGCGCCGCATCCAAGAAGAACAACTCGCCTCTAGCGGGCGCAGCTTTGTTGCCCACTTTGGCGCGGCTAGTTACGATTGTCTTTAACGTAAGATGAAAACCGGGGTAAGGAGGAAGCATTCGACGATACCATTTCTGGAACACATCACGGATTTTACGCTTGTGAGAGTGAATACCAGTTTTGAAAGCGATTCAGCCGAGCAATGAAGGCTGGCAGAGGTCCGACTATTCGTAGATTATTCGGCGTACGGCATGCTCTGAAATTTAACAATAAGTCGTGTTCTAGCATGGGGGAATGGATCCGCAGCTGCAGTAGCGTGCCAGTTCTTTTCAGAAGTGCTTAGGAACGGAGTTGGAGTGCAGCGACTTCCTGCTGCCGTCTCCATACTCCGCCCGTGCCGCCGCGCAGCCGTTCACACGCCTAGCCGTGTCCAGACGCTCTACTTATCTACTTCCTCTCACTTCTGCTTGTTCTCTTCCGCCAAGTAAGAAGTTCGCTGCGGGAGCTTGGCATCGACCCAAGGGTTGCACTTTGAGGATAGCAGAAGCGGAATGTGGCGACGGAAACCATCTTCCTACAGACCGGTTCCCGTGTACTTTTAGAAGAAAAAGTGGCACGACTGGCCACCTTGTGATTGTGCCCTGTGATGCTTCTTCTTGCGGCTCGGAAAATCTCTGTCAAAACCAGGTACAGCCTCCCATGGGGTTCTCAACACGACGCTGTACCCTGGTTAAGCGTCCATATGGTCATGTCAATAAATACAGTATTTACCCCAGATGAGAGGATGTTAAAGGTAGAGTCCGCGATCACTTATAGTTAACGGAACTCTTCGTTTGGACAGGTAGTGTGAATTGCAACGAAGAATCCTGCATAAGTCTCACGTCAGAAAGTAGCAAAGTAGCGGCGGTGAGGCGCGATGGCTGAAGTGACTCCGCCCAGGTTGATAGATGTCTTATAAACGCTCTCCTTCGTTTGCATGCTCTCTCGCTGTTTTCTCTGGTCTCTCACGGTATCCACACTGCTTGCTTGTCTTTCGCGTGGCGCAAGTAGGGCCTTAGTTGGAGCATTCTCGACTGTTTTCTTCCCTTTTCTTTCACGATGCATGTGACGCGATCCCACTATTTAAGGGTGTGGTTAGGGTGGGTTGGCTAATTTGCCGGGATATTTGGGTAAGTG